TTGCAGTGCATCAGGTGACACTTAAATCCTGTGACCTTTTTAAGGATTATATCATGTATAGATTCCCATATGTAGAAATTAGAAACGTTTTTTTCACTAAAATTAATTTTAAAAATATTTGGTTCAAACAACTTATGAGCGTTTAAAATTTTGATTCGTAAATTTACTTTTCACTTAATGATATCATCAAATTGCATTCTTGAAAGCAATGAAGAATTTTAAGTGATTTTTGAACTGTTATATTATTATAATTAAAATTTAAAAAAAATAAATTCTTGTAAAAATATTCATCAAATTTTATTTCTTCACACAATAATGTCCTTAATATAACTTATTTACAAAAATAATGAAAAAATTTTGAATTAAATAATGTCATAGTTTTATTGGATTTTTTATTTTACAATTCAGAGCAGATTTTCGATGAAACTGTTAAAACTGCTGTTGAAAAAAATTGATTTACTTTCTTCAAAGAGTCCTGTTTTTAACTAATTGCCCCCCTCCCCCCATTTAATCTCATTAAATTTTTTAAATAAGTATGGTGACATGTATAAAAAAAAAAAATTTTTTTTTTTTTTACCAAGATTTTCTAAAATAAAATTCCAAAAATAATTTCATTCATTTCTGAATATGTCCTGAAAGTTTCATTAAAATCCAACAATTATTTGATTTTTTTTGCAGGATTTCCAAATCAATTTCCTCGAAAAAAACAAAATAAAAAAAATTTTTTTTTTTTTTTCATAAAAAAAAAAAAACCTTGGGTATTGCATATCTGTGGAGGTACCTACTTAAAGTATATTTTAGAACATAATAGTCAATCACTACTGTCTATATCTCTGAGATGAGGCATTATGATTACTTACATTATTCGGACTGTTATCCTCATCTACATTGCCATATTCATGTTTCGGCTGTTGTATGCTCCAGCCTTAGCAACGGGCTTACTATTATCAGCAGCAATATAACTGTATATGGAATACCTTGAGGAAATGGTATCGCTAAAGCCAACTCTGTCTGAGATATATAGCTGGCCGCTAGACTCTGGCCAAAATTAAGGAAGAAGGTCGGGGCTACTCATGAATCCCATTAATTTTTTGGAGATCATTGATACAATTCACAATGGAGATAGAAAATGACATCAAACTAACCTTCCTGGATGTACTAATATCTCAAACAGAGCATGGGTTCAAGACATATGTATACAGCAAGCCAACATTCACCAGGCAATTTGACAACTTCAAAAATCCATTCAATAAAGGGATTATCCATGCTACTAAAACATTGAGCAAAAGTCATAAGTTGAGACCCAGACATATGAACAAGAAATGTTTAGTATAAGCAGTACATTACAAAATAAAACTAAATAAAATGACAAACTGAGACAGGATACTAAAGAGGATAACAACAAAAGAAAACAGCTTTGGTTTGCCCACATTATTCTGAAGGGATTGTCAGATTGAATATATTAAAAGATCTGTGGTCCATATAACATCAGGACAACTTTCAAAAGTGGTTCAATACTTGACCAAAATCTCTTTATAAAAAAAACTGCATAGAGGAGAACATTACTAAATACTGTATTATACCATTTACCCTATGCAGCTGTGGTAAGAATTTTAACTTTAACAGGCTACCCCATTAAAGTTAGATTGCAAGAACATCGTAAAAGTAACACTAGGAGAAAAATAGAAAAATCAGGCGTTTTTTGACCATCATAGTAGGGAAAATCACCGACCCTATGTGGGATGAGGTTGAAATGATAGACAGAAAACATCACTGGAAAATACAAAAAATTTTTGAATCCAATTTCATATGTAAGGTCACAAAAAATCTCTGGAAAAATACCAAGTATTGAAAAGAAATTAAATATAAACCAATAATAAAGAATGCTAAAAAAAAAAAATGAATAATAAAAATTTTTATATAAAACTCTGGTAAAAACTGCAATATATGTACTGGGGGAAAAACGATTGCTGAAGCACTAGGTTTATAAGTCCCAAATATTCAGCCACAGATGTCATCAAGGTTGCATGGCCATGTGGATAAAGGCATTGGTTAGATTCAGTGACTAGACCCAGAGTTGAGTTCAATATAAGGCTGCAGCAGTGGTGAGCTGGTCAACTTGGAAAAACATGAATTAAAAACGAAATAACTTGACATCCGGAAGAAAATGAAACTAGAACAATCTACCACGGTTTTCAACTAAAAGGTTTGGTTTTTTTTCCAATTACCTGAAGATGGCCAGAAAATACAATAGCAGAAACATTGTGAGTATGGGAATATAGATGAGGATAACACTCCAAATAATGTAAGTAATCAATCACTACTGTTTCAACAATTTTATGCTCCAGTAAGATTCAGTTATATTAGTTTTGTCAGCTAATGTATTTTTTGATATCTATTCTGGACTTTATGAAATTTACCTTTTTATTCCTTTTGGATATTTTTCATTTTCATAAACTTCCCTTTTAAAATTGAAAGGGAGCAAAATCGCTCTAAAGTGGTCATTAAATTTAAGATGTGCAAAGCTAAACCCTACATGGTCTTTGTGCCTGGCATTAGGACAATCAGTCAATTTATAATTTAAATACATTGTTAAACTACAACAGGATTTTGTCTTTATATAAATGGGAGTAATTTTTAAATTATGGAAACCTATAAAGAAAATTACATAGTAACCTTGGGTGCAAGGCTTTTTCTAACCCTAGAAAATGAGTTCTTTGTTACTGAAAAAGAAACTGCAATTGTCTTATTTTGTCTATTTAGGTTTGCGTACTTTAAAATTATGGACTTACCAAAAAGACTCGCTACTACTTGAATGAAAATGGATATAAAGTAAGGGTTTATTATATCTATATTGTAAATTGAACCCACTTAAAAAAAAAAATTCATTTTTATTTTTCTACAAAAATATTCTAAAAAGAATTGTAACCTTTCTATAAACTTTTATCAGGAAAATGGATTGTGCAAAATCAAATTACTGATTTTTATATGTACAATTGAAGAAATTTGTTTTATATATATATTGTAATTTGGTTTTAATTTCAGGGATTTTATTTAATGATTTAGGGCATAGGAATTTTTGAAAACTTGTGAACACTGACTCAGTGAAACAGCGAGATATATTTTTTATACCTTTTTTTTTTTTTATGGTGTAATTCTTTGCTTTTTGTCTCCTATTTAGGTTGATACCATTTAGGTATGGACACAGAAAGCTGTCAAAGAAAAATCACCAAATTGTATGGTTTTAAAATCATGAAAATGATAGTTGCCTAAAAGAAAAGTGCTGATAACTTTTACATTAAAAGATGTCTTTATTTTCATTGTTAATTAAGGAACAGTGGTGAGGTGCACAGATTTAGAATTTCATGAAAGTCAGATTGTGTGCTTAATAATAGTTTCATTTTACAAAAGATTTTCAGGATTTTTCTGTTTCTAACTTTACAGATAAGTTAACTCAATAAAGGAAGGTGATGTTAGTGTTAATTGCTTGTCTCCATTCAGTCACTTGGCCTAAAATCTTTCTCCCAAAGACAAAATTATTGACATGAAGTGACAAATGTTCACTGTCAGCTAACAAGATCTTGCTATTTTTTCCATTATAACTGAAGTGATTTTCTGTTGAACTTTGAGAAAAAGAAAAGAAAAATCCTTAAGGATATTTGCTATGTCTTGTTTAGGTTATAATCTAATTTCTTTATTCTAGATGGCTATAAAATATTTCCAGTTCATACAATATAATTGATTTTTTTTTTTCTTTGTTTAATTCTGTTTTAATTTTGAAAAGAAAAATATTTTTGGGATTGAGCAAATAAAAATGGAAGTTTCATCCCATTCATTTCTTTCTTTTTTATTAGTTCTGCAATTGTGCAGTGACATGAATAAACTGATTTGTGAAAACTTTGGGAATACAATAAACCCAGGAAAAGAATTCCTCTTCATTTTTGTTTGGAGATTTCAGTCAATAAAATGAGATTTATTGTATTTGTCTTTTAATCTCTGGTGAAATATCAGAAAACTTGGAATCTACCTGGTTGTGGTTTCCACATGGAAATTTAATCACTTGGACTCTGACCATAGATGTTTTTTGTCAAATCTTCTATAATCTGTTGTTTATGAAATAGTTTAGTCTTTTTAACCTGGTTTGCCAGTATACTACTCAGTCATGAACAGTAGGGTGTCAATGTGGGAGATCTGTACTCATCAGGGACAAAGGCTTAAAGGAACACATTCAGTACAAAGTAAGTTAAAAATGCCTGTTGCAGTTTGAGATATGAGAGTGTGTTTGAAGTTGTTAAATCACATCTAAGGCAATCAACCAAAGGCTTTTTAAACATAAAAAAAATATTTGAATAAACATGAAACTGTAGAATCTTTAGCTCCCTACAGTAGTATCATCTTTGATTTTTCAGTTAGTAATTTTCCTTTTTTTTTTTTTCATAGGATAATGACAACACTAGCACAAAATTCAACCACAATTTTTTGTCTGATGATCCGGGTTGCATGCAGTGACTATACAAACATTTTGTTTGACAAATGAAGTCACCTACATATAGAGTATTAATGGTTAATGAAACTCCATTTGCAAATGTATTTTGTATTTAGACTTGTTTGTGATTCTAAATCTAATATTTTTAAGATGTTCTTGTATTTCCTCCATAGCGCTTCCAAACACATACAAAATGTATTTGGTTTGTTCATGTACCACTTACGGATAGTTTGGTTTGAATGTTTGCTATGTCACTAGTATAAGAATTGGGCAAAATTTCTTTGGTTGTATATTTGTTATTAGTCATTATCAAGTTTTCTTTATTTGGTCCTCTTTTTGGTTGGGGTGATGGTGGGGTAGGGGGGGTACTGAATTGTCACTATTCTCACAACCTTAAATTTCTGTAAAAGTTAGGCAACTCTCTTCATACATAAGTAATGGGATGGCCTCCCAAATAGGTTTCTTTCTCTTTTTTAATTCTTTCCTATTTAAATTTTTTTTTTCTATTTTACAGGATAACTGGGAGGATGAAGATGATGAAAAGGAAAAGCCGGTTGAAATAACGA